TTGGTCTGCCATTGTTCTTCAGGACTTTTTCCAGTCTCTTCAGCATGGAATCCACCAATTTTGTTATGAAATCATTTTCTATTTTGTGCTTCATTACGTATCTCACTTTTGCCTCTAATGTCCTATGTGTAGGTAGCACATTGACCTCTCTCTTCAAAACAGAAAACAGATTTTCAATCACGTTGAGATCCGGGCTATTAGGGGGGATTTGCATGAACAGAACCTTGGAGTCACGCATTTTTTCTGAAGTCTAAAACTAAATAATAAGTTAACCAGACTCTTTAATTAAATACATTTACTAATCTCTCGTGAAACATGACACGGAGCGTTATCCTGAAAAACGATAACTTTTCCAGACGAATTTTTCATGAAATTCTGGAAACATTTTCGTAATTACTGATGCAAATTTCGTACTATTCATGGTGCCTTGGACTGATGTCCACTGACAAGGCTAACCATGTTTTATTCTTTCCAACTGAGTAATCTCGACGGGTGAGAAACTCTTTCATTTGGTGTAATAAGATCTTTTGGGGAATTCTCACCACAAATGACTTTTTTGTGAGCCTTCCAAGGCTCGTCGCACACCATACACTCGTCGGATAAATAAACCGATCGCCAAAATGACGCACGTCGAGATTTGAATTCTCGGGCTTACCTTTGGTGCGCGTCCAGTGCTGGCTTGACGTCAGCTGAAACCTGACGCATGTTACATTTTTTCATTCTTCTTTGCAAAATGGAGTATGAATGGCTAGGAAGATCTTCTCGTTGGATCGACGATAACGTTTTTCGGCAAATCTGTTTCTGTCCTTTCCACCGAGATAACGGGAACCTTTGGTTTTGAGCGCTGCTTGCTTCATTATAGTGACAGCAATACGAACATTCAAGTGGTGCGCAAAAATGACCTTGATTTCGAAGTTGACTTTGATTGAAATGGTATTTCTCGAATTCAGTGAGTTAGATACCAAACATAGATTATTCTTATGAGACCTTATTTAATGTAACTTATCAGGATTGTGAAAGATTTTTATTTGGTTATTCAATGGATTATATGGCGAATAAAAAAATGCCTCGTAGCAAACATCCGAGGTGGCAAGGGTTTATGGAGCTAATCTAGGATAATTCTTGAGTCATTCCTATTAGAAAATATTGCGTTCTCATACTTAATAAAGTTTGCGTTTTTCATGTCCAGACCATTTAATCTTGGCACCCAAGGTCAGGCAGGTTTAATTGACAATTATGCAGCCTAGAAACTACTTAGATCGCAGTAGACAAGATATAAATTATTGTCCATACCTAAAGCATTAAAACAGATGATAAATATGATGAAACTCCATTTGATCATAAAGAAAGTATTTCAGTGCATCAAAATCGGCCAGTAGTTTAAACCATGTCCCACTGGGGATTGGCGCTTCCTCAAGTCGCACTGATGATGTTGCCTAGCTTAACTACGAAACGTCTGTGACCAACACTTCCAGCTCGAGAACTCACCAACACCAACAATCGGTAACTTTCTTGGAAGTTAAATGGCTTCCATTGCCAGTCACAATAGCATGCGGGACACCTTCTCTACTGAATGTTTTCCTGAGTGCTCGAATACTAAATTCTGAACAGGGAGTTGTGATAAAGTAAACTTCTGGTCAACGGGAATAGGAATCGACGTTCACCAATGCGAAAGAATGGACCACAGTAATCCACATGTATTCTTTGCCATGAGTTGGAAGATACTGGCCACGGAGTCCGTTTCGAAGGCTGCCTCTGAGTTTTGTACACATAATCGACACAGGAGTTTGCAACACGATTCAGATCATGATTCATTTCAGGCCACCAGAATGTGAGACGGGCAAGAGATTTCATCTTTTCAGTGCCAAGATGACCGGAATTTAAGTCATTGAGAACAGCAGTACGTAATGTCAGAGGTACGATAATGCGATAATTGTAGCACAAGACATCATCACACGTCACAGAAATTGTCTCACGACGTTTATAGAATTCCGGAAATCGACGCTTGATGTTACCTCGCCAACCTCGACGGACACAGGAAATGATAGCGTGGTAATATTTCCTGGTCTCGCGAACTAGATCGAATCGACTTACCGAGAACGGTTGAGTGAGTGGACAGTCAGCCGTGGAAACCTCCTCTGAAATGGCGTAGCGTAATAGATAGTCTGCATGTGGAATGGACTGCGCGCTGCGATGATGAATGTCGTAGGAATAGGCCGACAATGCAATACTCCATCGTTGTACCATGGCTGCAGATGACTTACCCAGGGAACGTTGAGAGTTTTAAATGAACTGCAGGGTTTCATGATCACTCGCAATAGTGAAATGAGTACCACAAAGATATTTGTACATACGTGAGACAGCCCAATAGACAGCAAGAGCTTCTCGTTGAGTTTGAGAATACCCACGTTCGGCAGCCGTGAGTCTGCGTGAGATTCACAGCATCGGATGACCATTCTGCTCCAACACAGTTCCAATTCCAACGGGCAATACGTCCGTGATGACGGCAGAATGTAATCGTGGGGAAGAAGGACGTAAAACAGCACTGGTAGATAAAAAGGAAAGTAAATTCCTCAGAGCATGTTCATGGACCAAAGTCCACTGAAATGTTTGCTGTGACTGTAAATCGAACAATGGAGCAGCTTGGGTTGAAAAGTTAGGGATAAACTTGGAATAGTATTGTAAAGAACCAATTAAAGAACGAANAGTCAACGAAGAAAATCGATTAGGGTCAGGACGGAATCCGGATTCATCAACCAAATAACCTTAACAAGAAAGTTTAGTCGCAGCAAAGGCACAGTTATCAGGGTAATAGAAAAATTATGAAGACGAAATCTTTCAAGTAAAGTACATAAGCGTTTGTTATGTACGTGTCTGCTAGACGCATGGACAGTAATATGGTCCTGATAGGCACATACGCCTAGTAAGCCAGAAATGATGGAATTAATAGTAGTTTGAAAAGTAGCGGGAGAGACACTGAGTCCAAACGGTAGAAAATTGTAGCGAAATAAACCAAAAGGTATGTTAATAGTTGTGAGTTCACGAGACTTTTCATCAAGAGGAATTTGAAGAAATGCATCTTTTAGGTCTAGACTAGAGAAATATTTGGATTTATGAAGTTGGCACTGAATGTCTTCTGGTTCGACGGTGGCACAACTGGACTGTTTCAGGTGTCTGTTCATGGTAACTCAATTATCCCCACATATTCAAGGAGTCACGTTTTAGTGGAGTAACAATTGGCGTGGCCCACGTCAAAGAATTTACGGGTGTCAGAACTCCCTTGTTTACCACTTCATCTAACGCCCTTTTTACGGGCTCACGAGGTCCAAGTTGTATAATTCAACGTTTCATAAACACTGAAGAACCGGTCGCTTCTGTACATACAGGAGTCATTTTGATACCGCCCTTTGCCTTGGAACATTAGAGTACTAAGTGAAGAAGCTGTGATTGATAGAAGTCAGACGTGAATGAAAATGACAGATGCATACGATTCATATAATTCAAACCAATTATACAAATTTTGAAATCAATAACCAAAAACGGGCAGTAAAATTTACCGTCTTTAAGAAGCAGTTCGTATGATCCTAAGACGGGCGAAGAATGACCAGTAATTCTCTTAAATGAAATGTCTGTTGGGGGAAGCGCGACTGAGGGGTTTAACTGACGAAATACCTTGTTGGAAATAAAAGAATCAATACTGCCGGTGTCCATAATGAATGTATGGCGAATGAAGTCATTAATGATGAAGTCGCGAGTAATGTGACGGGAGGGACGTAAACTGGTACTGGCCAGAGTTAAGGACTGTAAATCACACAATAAATCTTTAGAGAAATGCACAGTTGTACGTTTTGTAAGACATAGCTTCGCACTTTTACAGACAAATTGAATATGGCCCAGCTTACCACAATTGTGACACTGCATTACGAAACCTACAGGGTAACCACGAAGGTCATTGACCACAAGACTTGCACTCGTGCCAGCGTTGGATCCGTTGGTCACCGTGGGTTGGAGAACTGGTGTTTTTAAGCCCCTTTTCGATAAACTTCTTTCGTCGGGATGGTGACTGTTTGGAATTGCTGGCACTGAACAACAAGTTGGGTTCATCACAAGTAATAACACGGACGTCTTGGTGCTGTTCACAGACTACCGTAGCCGACTGGAATGTGCATTTGTGCATGAGCAGGAGCTTTTGCTGTAATTCCGGGCA